ACTTTGGGGATATACAGGGTCTGGAAGATCGAAAAGGGCATCTCCACCCCAAGAGATGCCTTCTTCCACAACATCCAGGAGCCCACCATCTGACTCTAGGAGTTCACATTTAATTGGGTTGGAGCTATCGCGTTTAATTGGGTTGGAGCTAACCCATATGACCTAAGGACATACCGAAAGAAAGGGTAGATATGCAACCTAAGTCCAGCCCTGAAGAGTACCTAGCTCACATCTACACACCCAGGCCTAGGGTATCATGCTCATTCATCAGGCTCTGGCAATATAAGTTCTACGCTATCAGGAATCCTATATTCTACTCTAAGTCTATCCAGGTCGGCCTCTCTTAACTTCGATGGATAGTCAGAAGCCCCCCAATGTTCTGACGTGTCTACCGGGCTATCAGGCCTCCACCAGATATTTTCCTCCCTAATATAGCCTCGACCACCTCACTAGACGTAGCCAATATAGGCTCATCCATCGAACTACGCCCAGTTCCCTCCCAGAAGCGTCACTACTCTCAGAAGCCATCTTCAGAATTCAAAAAAAGTGAAAAACTAGAGAGATACTTACCGAAATGAACGAATTGAGGTTTTCTACAGTCGAACAACAAGAAATGGCCCTTTGAAACTCGTCGAAAACTAAAAATGTTGTCGGAAAACACTTGAAAATTACCGAAAAATGCAAAGAATTTTAAGAGCAAAGAGAGTTTGATTTCACAAAAGTGAAAACCTTGCAAAACGCTCAAGTCCTCCTTTTATAGGAGGCCCCAGATGATCCCCACCGTTGAATTCAAACGATGTCAATCTAGACTGCTTATCTCATCACAAATCTAGACCGTTAAAATGAAACGCCAGATTTGATCTGCGGCTAAGATCTAGTTATGCCCCTCACGCACGCATAAAAACGCATCACCTTGAATAACAGCAGTCGTTAACAATAAGTAGCTACAGCAGCCCTTTTTTTGGAAATAGGCAGCACGTCAAACTGTCGCCTTGAAAACACGCAACAGCTGTCACATCGATTAACATCATAATAAGACTCGTCAGACCAGGGGCAAACTGTCCGAATTCGCGTCAGATAAAGCTCTTTACCCAGCTTTACAACGTTTCGACGCACCTGATGTGGAGATCCACGTGGGTCATCACCTCGGACGCTGCATTCCCTCATCAGCTTTGCAAGGCTTTAGCCATCTCCCAACGCGTTGTCCCCTGTGGGTTAGCGTATCGGTGGCAAACGAGCTCTTCATCTAGCTTTACAAAGCTTTGACGCACTTGACGTGGAGATCCCTATAGGTCATCGCCTTGGACGCTGCATTCCCTTCTCAGCTTTACAAGGCTTTAGCCATCTTCCAATGCGTCATCCCCTATGGGTCAGCGCATCGGAGGCAGATAAGCTCTTCACCCAATTTTTCAACGCTTCGACGCAACTAACGCGGAGATCCCTGTGGGTCATCGTCTCGAACGCTGCTTTCCCTCCTCAGCTTTGCAAGGCTTTGGCCATCTCCCAACGCGTCATCCCCTATGGGTCAGCTTATCAGTGGTAGATGAGCTCTTCACCTAGCTCTACAATGCTTCGACGCACCTGACGCGGAGATCCCTATAGGTCATTGCCTCGGACGCTGCGTTTTCTCCTCAACTTTACAAGGCTTTAGCCATCTCCCAACGCGTTGTCCCCTGTGGGTCAGCGCACCGGTGGCAGATGAGCTCTTCACCCAACTTTACAAGCTTCGACATAACTGACGTGGAGTCCCCTGTGGGTCATCACCTCGGTTGCTGCGTTTCCTCTTAAACTTTACAAAGCTCTAGCCATCTCCGAACACGTCGTCCCATTTGGGTCAGCGCGACGGTGGTAGATGAGCTCTTCCTTCAACGGAATCACAACTCATATGACTCGGTGGAACACTGAAGGCTCGGTTATCACTTCGCCTCAGCCAACAAGTGTTCAGCACATCTACTCACTTCACCCTTTCACATCAGCACTTCATCAAAATCCGCAATACTTACTCTAACGCCGGCATACACAATCGGGAAAACAAGCCCACCCATGATATAAATATTCAAGCTTGAACTTGGGGGACCACTGTTACGCCCCTAACAAAACCACTTCGAAACAACAGTATCCGAAGTCCGAAGTGATGACCACTCCTGACGACCTCAACATGACATGCTACAAGGTGAAGAGTAGATCCACTGAAGTAACCGATGTGTCCCTCAACTTCGAAGCATTGGGCACTCCAAGGTACCCCCTTAATAGATCCCTCCGTCGCCACTGTCAGAAAGATATTTATCAAGATCCCCTCTGCCTCCAAGGATCAATTGATATGACGTCTCTATAGATCTAGTTGATGTGACATATTGAATTTATGTCAACTCAACTCAGAAGAACTAATTGTCCGCCCACTCTAGACGCGACTGATTGACGCCTATGAGCGGAATCTCACACCATCAAATGCATACACGTGTCCCACATCCAACGGTGCTCTACATCTATAAATACCCAAGGTTTGGCAAGAGACAAATGTAATGAAACTCACACAACTTAGCTCTCCATACTAGGAAATATACAGTCTCCTTCCCACTCTCTTGCACAATTTGAGCACTGTTCCGATCACCCAATGCTTATTTGACCGTCGGAGTGTATGCGGTCGCCGTCGCCATCGCTGGTTCCGACCCAGTGTTTCTAACCGTGCGTTGTTGTACGCAGGGAGGATTACGTGGAGTAACTATCCATTGGCCACATGGATGGTTCAATTCTCAAGGTCAGCAATCTTAATTTTAATTACCGAAAAGATCTTATATAGTCAATCAATACCCAAATGAGCCTAATCCTTTTAAATTTTGAAGACTTGATAGAAAAAAGAAGTCAATAAGTAGCGATTTTGTCTTCATATCACAATGAAGCCAAACAAAAGTCCAATTTACATACTAATATTCCTTGCCTGAACCTATCATCACTGGGGCTCGATTTATCAGAATACTTCCCTTTCAAAAAATTACATTTATTTTCAAAAAACCCATTATTAAGATTTCTATATTTTGAACAAGACGTAGTTAAAGGCAGCTGGGATAGGGGATTAGTATGATCAATCTTAATTCCAAACCTCCAATGAAAGAAAATCCATCTCCAACTGGAGCATCCAACAAATAATCCTACTACGGCAATTAAAATTTAAACATCAAAATCATAAAGAAGAAAGAAACCCATTATCAGGAATTGTATCTACCTCATTAGGAATACTACTTGAATGATAGTCGAGAAGCGATAGAGATGGCGGTGAAACAAAATTAAAAATTCTGGTGGTAGGAGTTTTTGCCAAATTTTTGAGTTTTGATTTGGGGGCTTTTAGTTCGGAGAGGAGTTGAGCGTATTAATTACGGGAGTAAAATACCCCCAAAATACCCACCCCACTTCCCAAATGTGAGATGAAGTGCTCTACCAGGCCTGTCAGCATGGTCCAAATTTTAATTACTTTGAGGGTTATTGTTCTAGGGGAAGAGTTCACATTTCAGGCTTTAAGTTTATCTCAATTCAAAAATCAAGTAAATACTTTTAAAATTCAAAAATCAGGTACATATTTAATTAACTAAATTTTTTTTATTAAATATAAATAATAAAGTCATAGTTACACGATTAATAGTCACATATTCATAATTATAGACCACAGATTTATTTACTGGTCACATATCGACAAAATAATTGATCAAATGATTGTTTCGTAGTCACAAATCAAAAATTTTGTAAGTCACATATTATTTCGAGATCACGGATCATTCAAATTACAAGTTACATATGTCACAGTTTATCGGTCACAAATTATTTTGGTCACAAATATCAAATTTTAAGTTTGAATTGATCACAGGTGATCAAATAGTTGGTCACAGATCAAATGTTAGGTCATATTTTATGCCACCACTACCACTTTCCACCATACTCACGCCATACCTGTCGTCGGCCACCATCTCACCGTCGACACTAACAATCTACCACCACCATCAGTTCCATTACCAACAAGAACCACCCAATTCCCTCGACACAACCAAAACAAGACCACCACCACCACTCCAACCATAAAAACACAACAATCAGATTCACTACTACCCCAAAACCGTACCACAACCACCACTACAAATCCACCTCCACCGCCCCCAGAAACCACCATAACAGCCACCACCTCCACAGTCACAAAATCACCGCCACCACCAAACAGTCAAACCAACATCACCCATATCCCGCACCAATCCATCCACAACCACCGTCGCCACTTCCACGACCATCACCACTACCTTACCATTGCCAACCAACATCACAACCACCATCACCCAAAAACAAACAACAAGCAGCCACTACTATGGCAAATCATTAACTGTAGATTGAAAAAGAGAAAGAGATAACACATTAACACCCAAAAATCCCCAAATCCACTTCCCGCGCCTGCACCAATCACCATTTGTCGTCATTCACACCGGTCTCCCTAACAGCAGTCCCTGAATCAGCAACAGGTGCCACCACCACAGAGTTCCGACCCACCGCATCCAACATCGCTACCGCTGAAAATCGCGGCAACACTCACAGCAATGGAAGAATTACCACGGCACTCACATTCGCGAGTCCAAGAGAAGGAGGCGACCGCACCGGAGAGGAGGCTTTACTGGCTATTGTGGCGATCGGCGATGAATGGCGATCGGAGGCCATGGAGCTAGAGAGAGAGAGAGATAAGAGATTAGTGAGAGAACGAAGAGTGATGAAAATATTAGATTTGGGGAATTAAATTTGAATATTTAATATTTAATTATTATATCAAAACCTGATTTTTGAACAAAGAAACTTGGCTCTTGATTTTTGAACTGTGATCTTTAAAGATCTGGAATTATGTAATTTTCACTTGTTCTAGTTTGTTAGTTTAGGAGGATATTAGGCCTAATTAGTGTTTCTGATGAACTCAGATAAGCCCATGGCCCATTTAATAGCAATCCCTCACAAAACCCTCTGGTATTAAATATGCACTAATTACTCGCAACCGTGCCTATCCCAAAACCTAGCCTGTGAATTTGCCTCCGTTTAGAAGATGCAGATCTTCGTAAAAACCCTTACGGGGAAAACCATAACCCTGGAGGTGGAGTCCTCTGATACCATCGACAACGTCAAAGCCAAGATCCAGGACAAGGAGGGCATCCCGCCGGACCAGCAACGCCTTATCTTCGCCGGAAAGCAGCTAGAGGACGGACGTACCCTCGCCGACTACAACATCCAGAAGGAGTCCACCCTGCATCTCGTACTACGTCTCCGTGGTGGCGCCAAGAAGCGCAAGAAGAAGACGTACACCAAGCCAAAGAAGATCAAGCACAAGCATAAGAAGGTCAAGCTCGCTGTCCTCCAGTTCTACAAGGTCGACGACTCCGGAAAGGTCCAGAGGCTGCGGAAGGAGTGTCCCAATGCCGAGTGCGGGGCTGGAACTTTCATGGCCAATCATTTTGACAGGCACTACTGTGGTAAGTGTGGGCTTACGTATGTCTACAATAAGGCCGGTGATGATTGAGAAATGGAGTTATCTGAGTGAGAATTCTAGTTTTCTGCTGTTTTTATTCTGTCTTAATTGTTATTTGAACGGTTATTATGTTGGGTCTATCATATGAATTTTGGATTAAGCATTATGTTTAAGACATTGAGTGTCTTTTAATCTAGTTTACATTTAAAGGTGTTAATGGATAATTTTTTATCAGTATCCTTCTTGTGTGATGAAATTATGAATTCTCTCTGTTGGAGATCTATTTTGTATAATCATAGTTTATTTTTGTATCTATCACGAGAATGATGCAGTTAGTAACATTGTTCATCAATTAGGAAATGATGGTCTTTACTTGTAGAATATAGCATACGTGTGATTGGGGAGAATTAAGATATTTTTTGGTTTAGGGCAAAAATAAAAAAGAGGCAAATACGTATTCTCAAAGTTTGTTCTTATTGCCCTCCTATTATTGAACAAAAACATCCTCTTAAATTGACTGCACTCTTTAACCATATTGGGAGATGCTGTTGGCCTATAGTCGAAAAAAAGAAGAAGGTTGAATCCCAATTTTGAGGGCTTCTATTACCCCGCTCCTAGAGCTTTGTGAGAGAGATAAATCGGGGATGTGCCACAGCAAGTTAGGGAATAAGAGCTGCCTGTATACTGCGCCTACAAGGAGTCCAATTTCATATTTTAGGAATCGAACCCCCACACTGCGATTATAGTCTTTCCTATTTCATGTTGTCCCTCGACAATAACGACTTTATAAATGCTCTATTCTTGTGGCCTTCTGTCGGAATTTGGTGTGCAAAAGCCATTTTTTAGTGTTTGGAACTGTTTTGGAATCATTTGGTTATTAATGCGTTGCCTTCTGACTTCCATGCAATGTTCATGTCCCAAGGGTTTAGGCAGCTATTCGAGCATTTGACCTTCCTCTCAATTGGTACTAGCATCCAACGTCTTTCTTACGGGGAGGTCCAAAGGTTGGAATAGTTGGGATGCAAATAAAATCCATGTGGGAGCTAAATCCCCTGCGGACCGAATGTAATTTTAATGGCGCACATAATGCCCTTATTTGAACCCCATTCTTTTGAAAAAATACATTTTTCAACAGTGTTTTGACATCATTTCAACCACAATCTTTAATAAAATAATATTACACGTAAATTCAAAATTTTTTCTTATTTTTTAACCATATATTTTTTATTAATACACTATTCAAAAATTCATTCTTTCCAAAAAAAAATGGGGGCTTAAATAAGGGCAATAGCTCTTAGTGAACGGCAATATGAAGATAGTCCGTGATTGTTACAGTAAGGGGTCAGAACTTTTATAGCAAGTTTTGGAGAATGAAACATTAGAGCAGAGTTTTGAGGGGCCGTAAAAAATATTTAC